TTTTTTTTTTTTTTTTTTTTTTTTTTTACTTTTACTTGCAGATAATAACATAGGTAGATAGACAACAGATAGAGAGAGTGTGGATAAGATGGGTACGTACGTAAAAAAGTTAAATACGCCCTTCGCAACAATACCAAGTAGCTTTCTTCCACAACGCCCCCATATTCCGACATTCAAGTCCTGTTGAGCAAAGAAAAGAAAAGAAAGAAAGAGAGAGAGAGAGAGAGACATAACATTCTTCCATCCATCCCAATTTGAGGCGTTAAAAAAAAGAGAGATGCAATTCCCACTCCAAACGCCCAAGGCTATGCAAAACCCTTTATTTGTATACGAAATGCCCCCAAAACAAGACCCCCCCCTCCCCATTGTCATCATCAATAAGATATCCAAGTGCAAAGAGACACTAAATTTCATCGCGAGTAGGGATGCGAATCTCCCAGCTCCTTGGTCCAGGGACAAAGCCCATCCACCAGTTATACGCCCTGCGCATTTCAAGGATGAGAATCTTGGTACTGTATATCTAATTAGCAATGTTTCTTTAGAACGAGCGACAATCCGATAACCTACAATCGTGAAGGAAGCTGCGTCCACTGGTAGAGTACGTAGTAAAAAGTGCGCTTGACCAGGTTGAGCTCGGCCTTGACCTCGTCCCATACAGACATGTTGCTGGCATCCCAGTCTCGCTGGAAGTTTGGAACATCGTCGTTGCCTGTCAACACGTTGATTGGTTTCTCGGGGTCCGCGGCTTCGAGCGCGAGCTTCGTCTTTAGTACACCTTCATCCGTCGCAGGAAGTGCGGGTGCAACGCCCTCGCGCTCGTCCATCATGCGCCGGAACTCCTTGATGGCCGACAGAGAGTGCGAAAGGCGGTTCATGGTGTTGATGAGTGCGACGAGCTCGGTGCGGCGAAGCGGCGGGTCTTTTGACGAGTCGTTTTCGTCGAATTCAAAGAGCACCTTGAGCGCAGTACCGCAGCCGTTTGTCTGGAGCTTGCCCCAAAGACGGCACTTGTCACAGCCAACACAGTCCATGATTCTGCTTACGTTCCTAAAGCGGTTGCGGAAGTCCTCCTTCAAGGCCACGCTCTCGGGCTCCTGGAACATGACTGTCTCGTCAAAGATCTCGGGGCCGGACGGAAGCGCCGACGCAAGACGGAGGACCGAGTTTTTGGTGCGGAGGTCTTGTTCAGGGTCCTCGGAGCAGAACGAGTAGTCGGAAATGTGTCGCTTAATCTTGCCGACTGCGCGCATAACGAGGGCATAGTTGAAATAGACATTGGAGATGCGCTCGGGATACTTGTGAAGGCGCTGCTCATAGCAGGCCAGGTTGGGTCCCCACTGGCCTGTGGTCTGGTTCAGGTAGTCCCAGCACAAGTGCGTGGAGATGGATGCATGCATGCCAGAGATGACACGATGGAAGACGCGCTTCTCCAGACAAGTGTTGTCAAACTCGACAGGATCAAGGCTCTCCACAGCAGTGCCGTGGGCAATGGCAGACTGGAACTTTTGCTTTTGGCCCTGCTCTTGCATGACGTTGCGCAGTTGGTTTGCCGCATGCATCTGTTGCTGGTTTCCAAAGGCGCCAAATGGCGAGCCCGGCGGGGCCGACTTGCCCGTCCCTGGCGCGATTTTCGGAGGCTTGTGAAAGCAATTCTCGCGGTAGATGGCTTCCCAGACCTGCTGAGCTCCTACGCCCGCATATCCCGTGAAACGCTCTGGGTTGTCTACCAGCGACACATAGTCTCCCTTTGCAGTCGCCGACTCGTCCTCTGGGATGCAGTAGTCGCGCTCGTCGCATTCATCGTCGTACTCGACCACACAGCTCTCGTCCACGTTCTCGCCCAGGTTGCCCTTTAGCGGTCGCTTGCGCTCTTCCCTTTGCTGCTGTCGTCCCGGATGCTGCGCCGTGGGCCCTTCGAGTTTGCCGAGTTCCTTTGCGCGCCAGACGAGCGGTATGTCGTCCTCGTTCTCGAGCGTGTTGACGGCACACGCCACATTTCCGCACATGCCATTCTCATCGTCCCAGAAGGGGCATTTCTTGCGGTACAGGTTCAGGCGGTAATGCGAGAAGAAGTCTGTTTTCTGGGTAATGGATTCGAGGTAGGGCTGTACGGCATCGTTGAGCTGCTCGAGGGTGCTGTAGCTTGCGCAGGCGTCGGAGACTATGGCGCCGGGCGATATCTGGAAGGTAGACTTAGTACTCTGGGCCTCGACTTGCGGGGGCGAACAGGTCGACTGGCTGCTTACGTCGCAAACGTTTGGCGGAGGACTGCTTGGTTTCGAGGGCGAGACACGGTCAGCGCCGTGAGTACCACCGAGCAGCGAAAAGACTGCCAGGTAGAAGACCTGGGCTGCTGGGCGCATCGTGTGGTGCAGTTCCCGTGTGCACAAGGTCTAGTCCTCCGATCAGCAAACGTTGGCGACCAGCGTGTTTCGCGGCGACTCTGGGTCTGCGTCTTACAATTACGAATAGCCCGAGTATATGAAGAGCCTCGGGAAATTACAGAGCCGAAGCTGTTTCGTGTGGGGAAGGCGAAGAGGCCAGCGTGTAGGTTAGGTATTGCGAGAGTGATTATCCCAGAGCAGCCAGGACCCCGGCTGTGGCGGTGCGGTTCCTGCGCCGATTGGGACGGCGGCGGGCTTGAGGCAGATTAACGTTGATGAGAGGCCGGTCTTGGCCCGAGGACGATGCAGAGGACAGAAGACAAAGACGCGGACACGCGCAGCCGTATATTATATTGGACGGGTCCCCCAGCGCCTCCGCTGCTAATCATACGTTGATGGGGCCATGCAGAGCATGCCGAGCGTGGGCTGGTAATAGCAATAGGCAAGGTGGCCATTACCAAGGTGTGGCGGTGGATTGCCAGTGACCCCCGCCACCGGCCTGCGGTTGGTGCGGGCCTGCGTGAAGGAGAAAGATGCAATGCCAAACACGGAAAAACAACACGCCAACACCGGCGCCCGCCAGAGCTTGCACACCGTCTCCGAAACGACATCCACCGTCTCCGCGCTCTTCAGCACCTCGCACCATGGCAGCGCCCGCCCAGCAGTCCGCGGCGAGTTGGACCGACGCCTTCCCCGCCCCACGCAGCACGGCGCCCACCGTCTCACGCGACGAGGTGCTGTCAGACCTGTCCTCTGGCCATCTTCTCGTCGTCGATGTGCGACGCACCGATTACGAGGGCGGCACTATCCGCGGCAGCATCAACCTGCCCGCGCATTCTTTTTACTTGAACAGGGGCGTCCTGTATCGCCTGTGCAAGGGCGCCGGAATCAGGCGCGTTGCTTTTTACTGCGGTGAGTTTGTTCTTCTCATGCCCGTCGCAGCACAGCACCGGTGTGAGGCAGGTGTTGGCAATGTCGGCGGCGCATGGCGTGAGACGCATACCACTCTGAAGCATGTCTGGATGGAATCCGCTTGCACGTGCGTCCCTGCGCACAACATTGGCTGAGACGCACTAGGGTCGTCCAACGGCAGAGGCCCCAGATGCTCGGCCTGGTTCGCAGATTACATTGCCGATCAAGGCGACGACCAGATCACGTCGTTGACTCTGGCGGGCGGCATCAAAGGCTGGGTCAAGGCCGGCGAGCCGTTTAGCCAAAACATGGACGCCTTCGAGCCGGAGTACTGGAAACAGTTTGACTGAGCTGTTGGCAAACTATCGAGGCGTTGCTAACATTAGTCGTACTATTACACATATCGTCGCATATTTTCTATGCCTCCAGCTCTAGTCCCTTACTCATCATCCGAATCGTCGTCTACTATCCGTCTGGCCCTCTTTCGGGCCAAGACGGGCTCCTCTTCCACCTCGGAAGCAGAGTCTGCCACAACCGATTGCTTCCTGCTCGCACCTGTCCTGGGCTTAGCAAGCGGCGCATCGTCGTCACTGTCGCTGCTGACGACTGCATCGTCGTCTGTGGCATCACTCGTGAAAATCTTCTGTCGTTTGGGTGTCCTCTTGGGCCTGCCAGCTTTAACAACTGCCTGTGTCCCGGCCCCAAGGCCAGAGAGATTGAGGCTGGGTAGACTGGAAGTTGGAGCTATCTCCTCTTCCTCCCCCTCGACAATAAAGCTGGCAAGCTCAGAGTCTAATAAATATGCCTGCGTGTCCTGTGGCTCGTCTGCTCCTTCTGTATCATCAGATCCAATCGTGTCCGCTTGGGATGCAATGCGGAAGCGGGGGTCTGTTGGCGGAGGAGAAGATTCATTGCCTTCCTGAGCAAGGCCAGATACACGCCAATTGGGTGTCTTGGTTCGGGGCGTCTCATCGTCCACTATACACTGCTGAGCAGGCGTCTGCACAGCAATGTGGTCTTTCCGCGGCCGACCACGAGGTGCCGGTGTTTTAGGTACCATATATTCTTTTACTTCTGCAGCAGCCTTCTCCTTTGGCTTCGGCACCGCTTTCGCCCTGGGCTTGATTGGTGCCTTTGCATTTGACTTTGGAGCAGGCTTGGCTCTGGTCTTGAGGCCCGGGGATGCAGGGTCGTCATCTTCCCACATCTCTTCGTTAATCACTGGCACTGCTGCTGTGTTTGGGACCACAAAGTCATCTCCTGCATCCGACTCGCAATCCGAGAATTGCAGGTTGAGCTTGAAACTATCCAGACGATCCTCATCCATGTCGTGCATGCGTTGCATCATCAGGGCAAACGCCCGCGTAGCACGCCCCGGCCCGACTCGCCGGCTGGAGTAGGGCAGTATCCGTTGCCGCTCAGGGTACTTGCCGAGGTCAAGCACATCGACCATGTGAGCATCGTCGTCATCAAACACAGTCTGATATCTCTTTTCGAGATCTAGCGTTGCTTCGTCGTCTAGCAGGACGGATTCGAGCGAAGGCATCACAAAAGGCTCTTCGCTTGCATACGTAGGTGCAGCCGCCCTCTTCCCGCGACCCTTGGGCACAATCTCCTCACCCATGCGCCCTGCAGTGACAAATCCAGTGATGACGTTGTCCGGCATATGGAACTTCTTTTCTGGTTTCTTGGTACGTCGGCCCTTCTTCGGCTCTGGAAGCCAGTCCTGCTGCGAGTTTTCAATAGGTATCTCCACCATCCGTCGATCCACAACAGGCCTTGCATCGGCCGGCAGAATCCTCCGAGATATTTCGTCGTGGAAGTTGAAATGGGTGCCCGCCGCAATGAGTTCTTGCATCTTGAGATAACTGTCGTTGGCCTTGTTCGCGTCATTCTCTTCCTTGCCTTCCATTTGCAGCATGACAATTCTTCCCTGGCGCTTTCGGCCGGTACGACCCATTCGCTGCAACATGCGGATGGGCGATGCTTTCGAGTCGTAGCAAATGATGAGATCGACCTCGCCAATATCCAGACCCTCTTCACCGATGGACGTAGCAATCAGCGTGTTGAATTCACCATTCTTGAATCGCTCAACAGCCTCTAGTTGATCCTTCTGCGTCATGCCTTCCGAGTTCTTGCCGTGTGCTTGACCAACAAAGATGCGGGGCCGGATCATGGGTTCGTGTCTCTTCAAGATGCGCGCAATTTCTTCAGCACTGTCACGGAAATGCGCAAATACCATGATTCTTGTCTGCGAGCCACCAGCGTGCTGGCCGTTTTCTGCATTTACAAAGTGGTCCAGTATGACTTGCTGCAGATAGTCCAGCTTTGGATGGCCAACAAAATTGGCATCCGCCATCCACCCTTGCAAGCGCGACATGAGCTTCTTCCACGCATCGCTATCGAGGATCTGTTTCTTGTATTTTGACTTTGTCTTTGCGCTTTCGTCTTGGAACTCCTTCATCTTGATGTAAAACGGACCTACGCCGTGGTACTTTAACAGATCCATGCCATGCGAGATTGATGCAAGGATTGCGAAGATTGTGTGAACAGTGCTCTGCAGGCCACGGTTTGCGTTGCGTCCGGCTTCTTGAAACCACTTCTTCTTAGCCTGCTGACAGCCATATGGCGTTAGATCGCGAGGGTTCTTGCTCCAGTATGCATTCAGGCCAGCAATCGTATTCACCAGAGGCTGGAGTGCCTGGCTGTATAGCTCCATGCACATCTCCATCTCGTCGGTATTCTGGAACACCTGCTTGTCAATCTTGCGCTGGTGCACATAACTGCAAATGTCCATGGAGTTTTCCGTTCGGATTTCCACCTTGGAAATGTCGAGACCGTCAATGACCTTTTGCACCGACTCTACATCAGCGCCAGGCGTGGCTGTCAGGGCCAAGACCCGGAAACTACTATTGAATCGTCGCAGGAAGCTGACGACTTCAACGTATGCATATGCGCCAGTCGCCCGATGGGCTTCGTCGACTACCAGAAGTACAATCTTCTTGGGGTCTGCGTATCCTGCCTTCAAGTCGTTCAAAAACGTCTGCGGTGTCATGAAAAACACTCTCTTTGTACTCCACTCTTCCGCCCGCAAGCCCGTTTGTACCCCGCCCGTCAACATTGTAGTGTATGAGCGGGGTATACCCGCAATCTTAAAGCATGCCTCAACCTGCTGAGCAACCAATGGCTTCGTAGGAGCGACAAAAACAATCTGGGCTTCGGTTGTCCATCGGAACCAATTGAGAATAATGGTGGCTGCAATGAAAGTTTTGCCGAGACCAGTGGGGAGAGCAACCAATAGGTTGTGGAAGAGGCCTCTTTGAACAATGTTAAATTGGTAATCTCGAATCGTCCCCAGGTTTGTCGGATAGACCCATGTCTTGATGGCTTCCGGGTCCAGTTTGTGGTGAGTCGGGGGCTCCGCCTTCTGGTCGACGACAAAGTTGTAACGCTTGTTGGCCTGAGACGGCGGGATCGCATTGTTGATGCCAGCGCGTCCAAACAAGGTCGTCTGTCGTAGGCCTGTCTGGGGCGCCGCGACACGCTTACGGGCACTAGCGGATTCTGAGTCGGCTTGCTTCTGCGGAGACGAGGACAAAGAAGAGAAGGCGTCAGACGGCAGATCGGCCAGGTCTTGGGTAAAGTCGTAGTCGGGAATCTCAGGCCCCCTCGTGGGTGCTAGTGCCATTGGCAGCTGAGGAGAGTCTTGCACATGAATGGGCGAATCCGAAACGCCTGGAGAAGGGGGTGCTTGTGGTGGTGGTGGTGGTGGCGGCCGAGACGATATGGACTGTCTACCTGGCAGGGACATTGTCCTGATGGCATCTAGGCCGGGCTGCTTGGGTGGCTCAGAGGGCTTTTGGGCATTCTTTGGGGCCGGGGGTTTTGCCCATATTGCACCTCTTGGCTTCCAGGGCGGCGAGTGCTCTTGCGGCGGCTGCGTGTAAAAGACGTCTGCCATGTCCATGTTTGTAGTGGGGACATGGATGCGTTCCTGGCGCTTTGCTGCTCGACTGTCTTTTGCAGGTGATACATATTCGGCATCAGAAAAGTCATTTTCCCAGGCCGTCGGCTGGAGTTTCTTCTTGCGACTTGCGGGCGCCTTCTTTGGGGCGGGCGACAGACTCTGGCTTCCGGAATCAGACAATGCACCCTCGCCGTCGGTTTCACGGTCCTCATCCGACGACGCAAAAGGACCCCGACGACGGCCGCTTTGTGCTCTGCGTGGAATGGACGCGGGCTGCCTGGTCGAGCTGTTGAGCCTCGGCCGCTTGGCTGGCCGCGGCGACGGCTGGAATGCCGGCGTGTGGTCCCGCTCGGCCTGGGTGGCGGCGTCGAGAAAGGCAGTGTCATCGAACTCGTCGCCGTACTCATCGCTGTCCTGCATGGCGGTGGCAGGCAGGCAGCAAGGTTCTGGTGGCAGTGGCGGTAGGATGCGAGATGGCGACGCGTCGTTTTCTAGCGCGTGTGGTGAGGACGGATGGGGAAGCGCCGACCCCTGCTACCACGACGCGCTGCCGCCGTCGCCCACCTGTAGGGTTCAACCGACATGCATGCTCGTATTGGCGGTCGGGCCGATAAGCGTTGCCGGATGGGGTATGGCCAAAAGCTAATATAAGTGCAGCAAGGCGGCGTGTGGCCATACCCCTATGTAATTACCTAGTTTTGCACATGGGCCATAATAAAAGCGAGGCGTGCTGCCCCAGATTCTCGTTGCACACGCCCGCACACACTCGTTTCTTTTGGCTGTACAGCACCTCGCGCGCTCAACCCTTATACACTCGCTAATCGCTTCATTGCCCTACTTGTACTAATCCGCGCCACTCTGCCGCCCACACATACACACTCCTCAACGCCATAATGAAGTACTCGGCCGTCCTCCTCTTCGCTGCCGCCGCCGCCGCCCAGAGCGGTAGCACCATCACCGGCGCCCCCGTCTCCAAGCCCGCCGCAACGGGTCTCTCGTCGGCCGTGAGCTGCGCCATGGCGTGCGATGCTGGCGATGTCAACTGCCAGGCCGCCTGCCTGGGCAACGCTCGCCCCAACGCGTCCCAGGCCATCGCGACCAACGAGTGCGCGGCCAAGTGCGACCAGGGCGATGGATCTCCCGCCGCCACCCAGGCCTACTCCAAGTGCGTCGACGCTTGCATCAACAGCCTCTTCCCCAGCAGCCAGACTGCCTTTGTCGGCGGTAATGGTCCTGCCCCTGCTGCTTCCTCGGCCGCTGCCGGTTCCAGCCCTGCTGGTTCCAGCCCAGCCAGCCCCACTGGCCCCAACGGTATGTGATTCTTTTTTTTCTATTGCAGCAAGCCGAGTATGCTGCCATGACGACGCCATTCACTAACTGTTTGCTAGCCTCTTCTCCTTCGGGTGCTGTGGGAACCCGCACTGGATCTGCTGCCAGCGGAACCGCGGCCACGTCTTCTCCCAGGCCCTCGGCTGGCGCAGCTGACAAGACCTCTGCCCAATTCTTCGGTGCTGGTCTCGCTGGTCTGCTTGCCATCTTCGCTTTGTAGATGGGCTAGCTGGGGGCGCCTTCTGCTCCAGCGCATGGATGGTCTAAGCGGACGCTGACATGATGGGGGGTTCGAGGGGATGCAGAAGAAAGCAGCTCCGTTTCGACTGTCTGGCGTGCAGCAGACAAGGGTCGCAAAAGGCGGCCATTCTTTTGTGCTTTGATTGATTGATGGGCGGGTTGATTGGCTGATTGGCGGTGGTGTGGGTGTTTGGCTGTGGTGGTGGTGGTGGTAGCTTGGTAGTCCAATCATAATGTTGTTTCTCCATAAGTAGCCGGCTGAGGGCTGGGTGTGGGTGTGGGTGAGCTTGGGTGAAAACGGGTCGTCGCGTGGACGGGGATCAGCACTGGGGCTCTTAGCGCAGCTAATAACATGGCCGTGGCTCGTGCCTCAATGCAGGTCAGACCGGCATCATCTCGGGACGCACATGTCATCACAAGCCCTCTGCCCCACCCACCGACGATGATACCACACGCCCTCGCCCTCGCCCACCACACGCCCACGCCCACGCCCACGCCCATTCAGCTTGGCCCGAATGCGCGCGACATGTGCCCGCAGTGCGCCTGAGCGCGCATACACACACACCCATCTTCTTTCGTCTTGTCATTTCTACGAGATGAAGCTGCCCAGCCAGTCGCCTGATGTCACAATCGAATTATTGCCCCCCTCCGCCAATCCTGGTCTCTTGGTGGTAGTGGTAGGCTGGCCGTCGCACCCCGGTTCGCTGCAACTCATTGCCGGCCCTTGTTGTGCGCCTAAACGTCAAAATACCCGTCCCCGTCCCCGTCCCAACGCTGGCGAGAGAGAGAGAGAGCCCAGTGTCGTAATATTACCAACTACAATGCCATGCAGTCGTGGTCGTGTGCCGGGCAGCCAGCGCTGAAAGGGGAAGCGCGCCGTTGCTAAGTGGAGACGATAGCGCATCGATGGCCACTCTGTAACCCTTCCATCTGCGGTCCCAGCATTCATGGACGGCAATTGGCAGATGAAACGCTTTTCCAAAGCCGCGCCCTTTCGACGTGGCCTGCAAAGGCACCACCCATCTACGTATCTACATACAACATACACCGTGTCGCGCTGGGCCCAAAGGCTGCCTGGCCACACTGGCTCTACTTTGGCAATCATGTTCCGCATGTCTGCACCCATCGGGCTCCTTTGCCGACGACCGCTTTGGCTTCCACCACGACCGCCCTCGATGCATGTTTTCTGTCTCTTGAAACTCATCTCCGTTTGCATATTTCCTTCTTGTTATGCCCGTGCCATGTCCAAACTATTGCTCTTGCAGCAACTGTGGCCCTTTTATTCTTTGTTGCTGGCTTGTCCTGCCACCCCCCCCCCCTCGAGAGCATGCCCATAATGGCGGCAGTCCGGGGCACATTTGCCACTCGCTCTCATCACACGACCCTGTTCCAAGCTTCCCGAGCCTGAGTCGCGGCACGCGCCTGCAGACTTCGCACAGCATACGGTTTCCCGGGCGAGGGTATGCAGTCATCATTGTCCGTAATAGTGCGGGTTGGGTCTCTCTGGAAGCGATTCTTGCCTTGCAAAAATCCAATTCGACCCCCATCGCATGGCCAGATGCACTTACGGGGATTCTGCCTGTTTCCACCCAGACCCCACACATCCATGACTATGACTATTGCTTGGTGTCGACAATACGCTTTTCGGTTACGTCTGCTCGCCCACGACAAGCAGC